TTCATATGAAAATGATTTCTGTTTTCTTAAAGCCTGAGGCATGCAGACTTATTGATTGCATATATTCAGCAGATATAGTCGATTTATTTTGATTTATTTTCATTACAAAATTATTTAAAGTTATCCGTTATTCTAGTCGCGAGGAGAAGAAAGTTGGCTGTTATCGTAGGTTCTAGTTAAAAAGTGATTGCACGAAAATGGAGCTATTTGCGAGGAAGATTGCAAGTAGGCCGGCGCGGAATTGCGCGTACGACGGTTCGGCTCAGGCGCGGAGCGACGATGAAATATACTTCCTCTGCCGCCGTGGGACGAGGAGACGCGTCGTCCCACGTGTGTAATGAAAGAGCCTAGCAAATTCTCGGCTGCGCGACCTGATCTTCAACCCCTTTAATTACTACGTGGCCGCAGAACCGCTTGTGAAACCGTGTTGAAGCGCTGAACAAGGTAACAATGCCAGTCGATTTAACGATGGATCCCGATTAGAGAGTCATTAAAAAGGAGCTTTAAGTAACAGTTAAACTTTGATCTTGATGTACATTCTTCCTTTTTAATGGCTACTAATTTGGCTCGGATAGAAATAATTGTTACTGATGCTTTTACCTAAACTAGACTGTAGATTTTAGATATTTATTAAAGAAGTGAATGTATAAAGTGTAAAAACTGTATTTAATACATAAAACAGTAGGAAATATCAAGGGCAGAATGCATAATGCAATATTTAAATAAAAAGACACTTTCTAAACAGCATTAATATTTTATTTTGCATAAAAATCCGCAGTCTAATAATAAGACAGGATACTTTTGATTCACCCTGTATTTTATCATAAATCCCTTTCTTTCACGAAAATATAATCGCATTTCAAGTGAAAGATATAATCACATAAATCAGAAAGTCTTATGAATCATCATTACTAAATAAATAGGAAGTAAAGTTTGGGTAAGTCAAAGTAATTTTAGAAATCAAATTGTTGACATTTTAAGCAGTAGCTCATCATAATATTCACTATTTTGTACGATTTCTTTGAGAAGTTCTTCGGTTAAGTTTATGCTGAAATCATAAAGCTCCTGTCGCTTTCATTAAAACTTATACGAATCTAATATACTTCATAAAGGTCCAAGTTTTTATGAGACCAGTAAAATTTAACAATATCTATTTCAAGTTCCTATTTTATGACACATTAAATACTTTTCAGAGCAGCTACCAACGAAATTATTTAAGTGCTACAGATGTCGATACGTGTCTTGAAATTTTAATTATGCCTGAATTCTTTGATACAGATTGAGACTGACAGGCTCCTCCAAACCGCTGTTTGAACCGCGGTGGGAACGCTCTCGCTTAGTGAGCTTTAAAGTGCTTCTATTAAAATAGAAGATATTGCAGGTCGTAGTCAAAATGTAATATGTTCTTCTTCAAAATGGTACAAAATATCGTTACGGTTTTAAACAAGTTTTTTAAAATAATAGAACTCGGAAAGTTGTGTTTGAAAACTGAAGTATATGAGAGTCCATGCATTTGTCAGTATAGAAACTATTAAAATTAGTATGCATGAATTCTACAGTTTCAAAC